GGAGTGGACAGGGACATGGTAGCTGAAGGAGTGGTAGACAGAGACATAGTAGCTGAAGGAGTGGACAGAGAAATGGAAGCTGAAGGAGTGGACAGGGACATGGTATCTGCAGGAGTGGACAGAGACATGGTATCTGCAGGAGTGGACAGAGAAATGGAAGCTGAAGGAGTGAACAGGGACATGGTATCTGCAGGAGTGGACAGGGACATGATATCTGCAGAAGTGGACAGAGACATGGTAGCTGCAGGAGTGGACAGAGACATGGAAGCTGAAGGAGTGGACAGGGACATGGTATCTGCAGGAGTGGACAGGGACAGGGACATGGTATCTGCAGGAGTGGACAGGGACAGGGACATGGTAGCTGAAGGAGTGGACAGGGACAGTGAACTGTTTGAAGAGCTAGAAGACATCGTGGAAATTGAAGAAATAATAAGTGCATCAGAAAGTGAGGATGAAGATGTTGAAAATCTACATCTTAAAAATATGTTAAGCAGGTGGAAACAGATGGAGGAAATACAGCCCACTGAAAGAATGGATACAGCACAGCAAATACAGACAGCTTCCATTGATTATATTGATAGTGAAAATGATGATAATGAAGAAGTTTTGGTAGATTATTCCAAGGAAAATGATTTTATGAGGGACTCAAAGAATCCTGAAATATATATTGTAAAAGTTATGAAATCCGACTATAAACACACAAAACATCACAAAACAGGAAATAGAGTGTACAATTCATTGCATTGCTGTTTTTTCTGCAAAAAGTTTATTCTTCACATCAGACCTCATTTGCGTGCAAAACATAGCCACATCAAGAAAGTTTCTGATGCATTTGAAGATAAGAGTGGGAAAGAGTTGAATAAACTTAGAGCTATGGGAGATGACATGCATAATAGGAATGTGATAACAGAAAAGAAGGGACAACTTTTACTCTTGAGAAGACCTTTAGAACAGTTCACAGCAACTGACTATGGACCTTGCCCCAATTGCCTAGAATGGATTTCCAAAAGTAACATAAAGCGACACCAATCAAGATGTATTAGTTTAGAAAATTCATTTGGCGTACAAACAAAAAGAAATTTGTTGCTGCAGTCAGATGTTGCAAGTGGCCGATTTATTTCCTCTGCTTCCAAATTCCTCAAAGATGAAGTTTTTTCATCAATGACCGTTGATGATATTACGGAAGTGGCCAAATCAGATGTTTTAATCATTGCCTTGAGAGAGTATTGGTTAAGGCAAAATATTGATAATCCTTTAAAGAGAGCAAATTACTCATCCCAAAGAATGCGACTTGCTGCAAGATTACTTATAGAGCTTCAGAAGCAAACATCAGAAGAGTGTTCGATGACTATGTGGGATTTTCTGCAACCTTCATATTTCGACAGCATTGTTAATGCTGCTCTAGAAACAGCAATACCTACTTTTGATGATGAAGAAGAATTAAAATCTCCTTCAAACTGTTTGAAATTAAAATATGATATTTTGAGACTAGTTAACTTCAAATGGAGCTTTTTAATAAAGGCGAATTCTTCAAATGAGGAGAAGAAAAAGTGTAAAAACTTCTTACAGCTAATGTCGCTGGAATTCAAGAATAAAGTAACAAAATTGGCCTACACCGTCCTAATTAAAAGGACATTCACAAAAACGAAAGAAATACCCACTCCATCAGATATCGAACTGTTGAACAGACATATTCATAGCCAATTAACAACATGTTTATTAAACCCAGTGAAAGAAAACTATAGAAAAGTGGTAAATTTGTTACAGTGCCGACTTCTGTGTTATAACAAAAGAAAATCAGGCGAAATCGATGCAATAAGGTGAAATTCTTATATTTTTTTGTGTAAAAATCATAGTTGTTCTGATGATAAAGTCTTATTACATGTACAAACAGTTAATTCTTAAAACCAGCAACTGAAAACAGAAATGCAACAACTTTATGATTTGGCATTAAATTCTAGACCTAATGGTATTGGCATCCCCTGTGTACATCACACTTGAGCCTCAGAATGATGTTACTTGTAGATCAAGTGCATAATTTTATAGATATTTTTTGACAATGGTGCCCCAAGTTGTGTGTGTATATATACATATATCAGAATATATTCAAATTAAATTTGCAACAAATTTATCATTCCATTCTAGCTTAAGAAGCTACTCTTCTAGAAGAAAAGACTTGAGTGATGTGGATAAAAGTTTAATTGGCGAATTGACTAGTTTGGAAAAAACATCTTCTAGAGTCCCAGGATTTGATGATAGTACGAGGCAAAGTAAGATATTTTAAAGGACCTTAAAAGAGACACTGACAGCATCAATTTGCACCATTCCAATTTTCAATCAGCCTCTGTGGTTCTTGCAATTCCATTTAAACTAACGCGTTTTATGACGTCACTAGTTTTAGTGGAATTGCAAGAACAACAGACATCCGAATGAAAATTGGAATAGTGCAAATTGATGCCGTTAGTGTTCCCAATGCACATAAAAAGTTTAGAAAATCTCTTTACAATCCCTTTAAGACCCGTAATATCTAATTTTTATTACTGTGTTATTGTAATTCATAGTTCTGATTTTGTAAATGCCAGCATCATGAAAGATTTTTTTGTCTTTTGTAGCGGTGCAAGCCTGTTCCAGTAATTATACCAAATGATTGTAAAAAACCATTAGCATACATTGCTGATAATGATGTAAGACAAAAAGTGGGAGTTTTTAATGATAACAAATATCTTTTCCCTAACTCTGGTAAGTACATGATAAAAGATTTTGCTTACAATATTGATAGTCAGTTCCAAAAATGTCCCATGTACATGTAAGCATATTTCCTACTTAAAAAATGTGTTTCTATCTACAATGTACTTTTTCTATTTTACTTCATGTCACAATGTTTTTGTCTTCTTTTTTGTTCACATTTGTTAATTTTATAAAATAAACAAATCAAAGAAAGTATTATTGAATGATATAATTTGTAAACTTTGACATTTTATCAAATCAAAAATTATGAAATAAAAGGTTTTTTTTATGAGAGTGAATTATCATATTTAATTATTTGGTATAGTCTACCTTTTGTAAAAAAAAGTGAATAAATGTGATTTATTTTCAGTTAACGGCGCAACAAGAAGCTACGAATCGCTTAAAACAGTCTGTTCTGAGCTCAATTTAGAACATCCTGAAAATATAACCAGTGTTTCAATGAGGAAATACACTGCTACACTCTCTCAGGTATGTTTTCCATGTGTATTTCCAAGTTTGCCTGTTGTGTAACTGTGTAATGTGACAATTTCAACAATCAACCATTAACTCATGTCAGATCTAAAACTGGTTGAGCTTTTCCAGCTGATTAAATAATTTGATAAACAATATGTTGAAAAATCTGGTAATATATATTGCCTCATGTTTCAGGTTATTGATTTGAACAGTAATCAATTAGAGTGGCTCTGCAAACACTTGGGACACACAAAACGTGTCCACAAGGAGCACTACCAACAAATGTCTGGGTTTATTGAGAGAGTAAAAGTGAGCAAACTCTTGCTTGTGCAAGACATGAATCTAACATCAAAGTTTGCTGGCAAAAAATTAGATGAAATTACATTTGAAGGTGAGCATTACTTTATATTTATGTAAATACATCCTCAGTCAGAGCAGATGAATTATGATTACCATGAATGAACTGAAAGTGATGCAATGTATTGCAGATGAATTCAAGCTCTAGTTAACTATAAGAGGAAAATGCAAATTGCAGCTTAGATTCATCTTAGATACAAATAAGATACCTATACCTTATAAACTATTAATCAATTAAACTGACAAATTGTAATAATGTTTTTATATTATTCATTTTTGGACACTCAAAGCATCTATTTATCCCATTCCAACTTTTAATCAGTCTGTGGTTTTTGCATTTTCATGTTTTAGTGGAATTGTAACAACTGTCTATGTATGGTTGAACATTGAAATGGTACAAATCAATGCAAATGTGCCCTTGATACATATAAAGTATAGAACGCCTCTTTACAATCCCTTCAATCATCAGCTACTGTAACTGCAAGGTATTGTTTTTTTTGTTTTAGATGTTTTATCATCTTCAAAAGAAACTGACAAAACAGATGAAAGGCCTTCCATCACCAATACACCAAGCACTAGTAAACTACCAGATGGCTATGACTCTGACTCTGAAGAACCAAAAGATAAAAAAAGAAAGCCAAACTTAAAAAGGGTTCGCTGGACTTCAGAACAAGTTAAAGAACTTTATAAGTTCTTCAAAGAACACCTTGACAAGAAAACGACACCGCGCAAGGGTGAAGTTCTGAAGGTGTTAAAACAAAGCTCTTTGTTAAATGTAAAAAGTTACACAGACATTATCAAGAAAATCTCGAACATAAACCATAAAATCTAATGCCAGTGTGATGTCATTATGATGTATCGACTGGCCCAGAAAAAACTATAACACTTTTCATTTCAGGATTATTCAAATAGTATCAAAGCTAAGTCCTTAATATTTTGACACACTAGTCATATGTATATAAGACATCTTTACAAAACATTAGCTTCATAAGTTGAATCACTTTGAAATGGCAGCAATTTTGAATTTCCTTGTTAAAAAAATATAATGCGGAGAATGATTTATGTAATTTTACCTCTTAAATTGAACAAATGATCAAAGTGGCTCCTATTTTCAGTACGAATCACATAAAAACACTTTATTCATGATAAAATATTGCATTTCCGCTTCGATTAATAGGTGTTTCATTGCATTTATCTTTAATTATATCCTTCAGATTTCTCCCACTCTGCACTTTCTCAGCCAGAGAAACACTAGTAAACCATTAGATAGTCACCAGAAGAATGGGTGTAGTCATTATATAATTCTGAAATGAAAAGTGTTATAGTTTTTTCTGGGCCACCCAATATACTGTTTTGTTCTGTTTTACTGTATGTAGTTATTTTATGTCACTAAATGTTTGAGTAGGGAACTCAATACTTAATCCACCTAAGTTACCTGAAATCATAACTTTACTTTCACGTCACTGTACAGATTGGTATTTAAAGGTGTACTATCCCTTAGAATCAATATCAAATTTAGATTATCCAACATGACATCCAACATGAGTATATAAAAGGATTGTAAATTTTGATTTTAAGATTTCTAAATTTTGTATGTGAATCGGGGAATGGATTAGTCAAAATTGATGCTGTCTGTGTCCCAGATGCAAACAAAAAAATTAGAAAACCTCTTTTAAGAGTATATAATCTAGTGTTGATAATCTAATCAATCCGTACTATTATGTAATTATTGGATCTATAGTTTTGACACAAGTCCACTGATGTATTATACTCTAAGAGTTAAAATTGTTTGTTAATTCTAATACTAAGGTGCCAAGAATTTACAGTATATTCTCAGTAAGAACATCTTTAGTCTTTTGTTGTAATGAACAAGTCATGGCCGATCTCTCTTATCTAAGCATGTCATATTAAACCTGATTTTTGATAAAATAGGGATTGTGTGACAGCGAAACTGGTTCGACATAACATGCTTTGATCTATAGACCATGGCAGTTTTGTGTGTCTTTGTTTTATTCTGTGTAACTCTGAATCCAAGGTGCCTTACTTTTTCATACAACTACATTCACATCATGCAAATCTTTCTGATACATTCTAAGACAAACTGGCACGCACTTCAAATTTAGTGATTGCAGTATTGATTTATTGTATTTGCCTTCTCTAAGAAGATTCTGAAAGAATTATGTTCTGTTTTATTAATATTTAAAATTTATGAGCACAAAAAGTCCATAAAATTATTTATATATTATTATAAGTTATTGTTAAAAGCAGGTTTGTTACTCATTGGTGGTTCGTGTGGGACGTGTTGGATGGAAATGTTAAGACTTAAAATAATTGGGCTGGAGTTGATGCCATTGCCCTCATTTCATTACAGCCTTGATTCTTAACTTTAAGCAACAAAGAAAAGGTCCATAGACTCATGTCCATCCTTTTTGTTCTATGTATGTAGTCAAAGGGGAGATAAATTGTTATGTCGAACTGGAAGCACAAGACTCAGTAAAAAGGTTAAGACTTACAAGTATAAAAGCCCTGTCCTTCACTCTTGAAAAAAAGGAAACAGGTAAAAAAAAAGACCCACACAAAGTTGAGTTAGCATTTTTTCTTCATTTTAAGCATAGTTTAAAAAAGCCTCATTAACCCTTGTCCATGGTATGTTTTTGATGTGTGTGGTCAAAGGGGGAATAACTGAAACAACAAAAAAACGGAAAGTCCATCTAGGCAGCCTCCTAATCAATAGAAAAAAGACACAGAAAAGGCCAAGTCCCATAAATATAAGTACCGAAGGTAGCATCCTAATAAATTGAAGAAAGACACAGAAAAGGTTCAGACCCATAAAAATAAGGACAGAAGGTCTCCCAAGGTAGCATCCTAATATATTGAAGAAAGACACAGAAAAGGTTCAGACCCATAAAAATAAGGACAGAAGGTCTCCCAAGGTAGCATCTTAATATATTGAAGAAAGACACAGAAAAGGTTCAGACCCATAAAAATAAGGACAGAAGGTCTCCCAAGGTAGCATCCTAATATATTGAAGAAAGACACAGAAAAGGTTCAGACCCATAAAAATAAGGACAGAAGGTCTCCCAAGGTAGCATCCTAATATATTGAAGAAAGACACAGAAAAGGTTAAGACCCACAAAAATAAGGACAGAAGGTCTCCCAAGGTAGCATCCTAATATATTGAAGAAAGACACAGAAAAGGTTCAGACCCATAAAAATAAGGACAGAAGGTCTCCCAAGGTAGCATCCTAATATATTGAAGAAAGACACAGAAAAGGTTAAGACCCGCAAAAATAAGGACAGAAGGTCTCCCAAGGTAGCATCTTAATATATTGAAGAAAGACACAGAAAAGGTTCAGACCCATAAAAATAAGGACAGAAGGTCTTCTTCTTCACCTTCTCCCACTCTCTCTTTCTCAACGTCGTCAATCCAAGTCTGAATCCTCCTCCTCCTCTCCTCCCTCTTCGCCTCCATTCTTTCCCTCGCCTCCTCCTGCCTCCTCAACCTCTCCTCTCGCTCCACATCTTCTATCAAAGCCCGAATCCTCCTCCTTAACTCCCTCTTCGCCTTCATTCTTTCCCTCGCTTCCTCCTTGCTCAACCACTCCTCTCCCTCCACATCTTCCTCCACACTACCAATAACATTCATACTCCTCGCCCTCTCGGCCCTCCTCTGTCTCCTTCTCTCCTCCCTCCTCTCTTTCTTCCCCTTATCACCTGCTTCCCTTCTCCAATCCATCTTTCAAACAAACAAACAAATCTCAAATGGTAGGGTATATGCTTTTTCTTCTCTTTACCTCTAAGAAACTTGATATACCCCCCGAGCCTGGAGTTTTAAGGGACAATTTACATAGTTCTAATGGTCTGGACAGGTTTTTTTGGACACTGAATTCAGGTGGGCTTAGCGGTTAGGCCTTTTGATTTTCCAAATGCAAAAAGTAGACTTTGAATGGGATATATGAAATGCCAATGGGCACTTTAGTTCTTCAAATTTTGATATGCCACCAATCGGCGGCCATCTTGTTTTAGTAACTAAGTCTGTGCAACAAGTAGAAGAGCGCGGCAACGGGGTAGTTTGGGTGACTTTAGGGATTTGGAACTTTACTGGTCGGATAGAGGACTCGATTGGCCATCCGCATGCGCAATTTGATTCAAATTGTAGTTAAATTGAACTCTAGGGCAGGCATGTAGCGAAACATGACTGAAATGAGGTTTTTTGGACATTTATTTGGGCTTAGCGGTTAGGCCTTTTCATTTTCAAAATGCAAAAAGTAGTCTTTGGATGGGATATTTGAAATGGCAATGGGCACTTTAGTTCTACAAATTTCGATATGTCACCAATCGGCGGCCATCTTGTTTTAGTAACTAAGTGTGTGCAACAAGTAGAAAAGCGCGGCAACCGGGTAGTTTGAGTGACTTTAGGGATTTTGAACTTTACTGATCGGATAGAGGAGTGAACTGACTTTCCGCATGTACAATCGAAATCGAACTTTAACGGAGATTTAACCGTGGGACAGACTTTAGGTAGACTTGTTTATTTTATTGCTGGAGAAGGGTTTTTTGGACTTTTATTTTTTTGGCGCCAGAAAAAGCTTTTTCAGGGGTTTTCAGACACTTTTTCTAGGACAGAATACACTTGGGATTTCAAAAATGCAATAAAAAAATTTCAGTTTTAGGCACCTTTAATTGTCGAAAAAATGTAAACAAATGAGTTACTTCCCGTAAAGTTAGTTAGGGCAAAAACAAAATGATAGATTTTTCACGGCCAAGCGGGGCTCTGGGGAGTCATTTAGGCATTATCATCGTCTTCAGTGCAATTTTTTTCATAAATGTGGACCAAATGTCCTTCAAAACTTAATTCACAGACACAGAAACTGTCAATTTCTTGAATGTAGGTCACATGCATATAATTATCATTTATTGCGTCATGACACTGCTTGCCTTCATTCCACTTCACTTGTTGTCAGTTATTCATCGTAGCTGGTCGCATTTTGGCAAGACTTTTATAAAGTACATTTGTTTGGGTTTAGCTGTTTAGTTCGAAAGTTGCAAGTTCACATGGATGTAGCCAGATAGAACAGCTCCATGTCTGCGCACTTCTAGTTTTACGGCTCTGAAATCAACAAAATGAGTAAACTTAAAAGACTGTTGCACCAAGTTGACCAAGCTCC